GCAATTTAATCTACAGTGACCACCTTTTCCCAGACATCACGAATCAAATCATGGCCTATTCTGCCAGATGCGCTAGATACAGCGATCCTCCAGGCAGCCAGCCTGGCTGTACCTACCAGCAATCAGAGGTGACACCTGCGGTGCAGCCGATTGGCCGTCACAAGTCTCACTAAAGGAATAAGTCTGCAGTGATGGCAATCTGACTTGTGGTGACGAGCCCGTGGGGTAGATTGTGCCGGCATCCTTCAAGCTCAGGTGCGGGTGGCCAGTTCGCTACATGAATAAGGTGGGTCCTGCTTCGGAAGGAGTCACCAGACCGTCTCTTTGGCCCGGCAGGGACCGTGTACACCTGACCGCAGCCCTCAATTCACAAGGGAGATGTTCCCGCTGCCTTTTCTGAGTTTGCAATCCACATACACTGTAGCATGGCCTGGTTCCAACTTCACTCCATGCATCCATTTCTCCTCCCCATACCCCCTGCACATTGAAAACAGTGATACGCAGCCATCTCACGGGGCTCTTGGGCGATTTAATTAATGTTTATAAAGCACTCTGAGGTCTTCAGATGAAAACTGCTGCGTAAGTGCAAAATTATTATTAGTTCTCAGCGTCCTGTCCCTTGACTTCTGACATGGGCTTTTGTTGTTCCTGAATGGGAGCCGTTTATGGGCCGTCCAGCTGGCTCTTTTGGGTACATAGGCAAGTACATACACATTTGCAGAATTTTTTCCTCTTTGAAAAAAGCATTCCAACTCTGTGGGATGTCGCAAAGCTTTTCAATCTCTGAATTTCTCTCTACTTGTCTCTACTAAGTACAGTAATCTACAAGAGTAGATTGTAAACAGGTTACTTTTGCAAAGAGTGAGGCGGGGAAATGGTCAATTTGAAGAAATAGCTCCTCTTATAATGAAGAATAAAACAATATCTCCTTCTCATGCAGAATCTAAATGAACCACTAAGTGAGGTCTCTCTCCCTTGCCCAGAGGGATACTGTACGTGTTCATGCATCGAAAGAAGGAAAGAATAGAAGGTTTGCTTCCAGTGCCCACGTTTTGCCTCCTTCCCTCACCCAAGCTTCTCAGGAACCATGGAAACAAATACACCCCACCTAGGTGATGTTTTCCTGATAGTCCTTTGTTACTTCAGTGTGCACTGCCTGGGATCCCATGGGGAGAATGAAATAAAAAAGTGGAAAAGAAGAAAGAGATGTCTGCAAGTAAAATGTCTTGTCTCTGAAGGACAGAGTGGGGCTCATGTGTGATTTATCAAGCTCTGTGGGCAATAAACAATGTTATAAGGCACAATTTTCCTTTCCTCTAAGACATATTCATACCCCTCCCTTGTCACTCAGGCATAACCCATCACATTCCCTTGAAGGTATCTTTTAGTTGATCATTTTGCTTTATTAGCAATGTCTGTTAGTCAGCCAACTGCTGAAAGATTTTATCTTTAAAAATTGCTCAGGCCAGATGCGGTGGCTCACACCTGTAACCCCAGCACTTTGGGAGGCCGAGGTGGGTGGATCACAAGATCAGGAGTTCAAGACCAGCCTGGCCAATATGGTGAAACCCTGTCTCTGCTAAAAATACAAAAATTAGCCAGGCATGGTGGTGCCTGCCTGTAGTCCCAACTACTTGGGAGGCTGAGGCTGAAGAGTGGCTTGAACCCAGGAGGCAGAGGTGGCAGTGAGCACCACTGCACTCCAGCCTGGGAGACAGAGTGAGATTCCGTCTCAAAAAAAAAAAAAAAAAAAAAAAAAAAAAAATTGCTCAGGAGCAATTATATAACATGTAATTCGTTGGACAAAAGTATAAAGGCAGGAAATCAATGAAGGGATCCAATGTTAGTTACATGGTTATAAACACAGGACGAAATAAACCAGAAGAGCTCAGATTATGCACATCGTGTTTCCTAAGTCAACCAATCACCGATTAAATAGAATATTAAATTATATACGAGGAAAACAGGAATATTCTTCCAGGACAGAAATGCAAATTTTATAAGGGAAAAACCAGGAATATTCTTCCAGGAGAGACTGAAGGGGAAGTAAAGAAGGATAAAAGCGACGTGACACACGTGAAGCCTGTGGCTGCTGTTGCAGTAGTGTCTTATTAGCTGCAGGAATGACTGTGAATCCTGGGGGACCTTTTGCATGGTCTGCAGTGATTGAGTTCTGCCTCTTAGGTAGAGGTAGAGATGGGAGGGATAGGTTTTTGGTTTTTTGTTTGTTTTTGCATTCTGTTATTTTTAAAAAGCAAAAGATAGCTGTGTTTTAAAAAAAATAACAAAAACATAAGCAGCAGCTAGGCTCATAAGAAAGCCCAGGGCTGACAATTGAACAGGTACGTGCAGGAGCCAGCTGGGGTCCAGCCCTCCTCGCCAGCCCTCCTCCTCTCTTCTGTTGATGCAGTGCTTCCTCAGGGTTCCCCCCTCAGTTCCCTGTGTGGTCCTCCTGCCTCCCATCTCTTCCAGCTCTTTTATACTTTTATTTTCCTGGTTATTATCCTAAAATTGGATCTGAAAACATGGTGCCCCAAATCAGAATCCTTTGACACTTCCACTGTACAAACTCTACAATAACTTACCCATCCTTCATGACCGCCCCCTCCCTCCTCCACCTGGGCGGAAGCTGCCCCATGCCCACCTAAACTTCCATACAACCCTCTGTTCAGCCTGATCTCTCCTTTCCTGCCTTAGAGACTGTGCCCTCGCCGTTCTCATCGCTCTTTCCATCACTGCCCTTCAGAATCAAGTCCAAGCTCACACAGAATCAGCTCTGCAAGGCCTCCTGAGGTGCTCCTAGAAGATTCTGGACATTGCCACAGTTCTTTCTCTGTGTTCCCAGTAATCTTGGTATTTCATATAGTGCTCTCATATTTAGTAAACAAGTAACCATGCATACAGCTCTGAGAGCACTTCTTACAGTTGATTCTAAGCTCCTTGAAAGAATGTGTCCCACTAGGTTAAGTACTGCACAGTGCCTACAACAGTATTGTATACAGAGCAAATACTCGGCCAGCATAATTTATGTGTAATTTCACCCATTCAACACACACACACACCCCACAGAATGGCAGGTGGTACAATCTTAATTCCTTACATCTTTTAAATGTACTTTAAAGGTGAAAATTAAAAACTACACATCTAGTCTTGAGAAGATAAATAACAAGAGTAGACTGTGATCAAATAAGTGACTGACTGCATTTAAGCAACCAATTAGATGATACCTGCCTCTGCAGAAAATCATCTACACAATTATGGGGACAATAGCCGGTGAATTAAGCACATAGCTCATATCCTAAGATTTTTAAGTCTTCGGCTATTTTTACATAGGAAAGCTGAGGTATTAAACAATGATCCAGTTCAATAGAGTTGCCAGTGAGGAAAGAGCTGGAAACCAGATTGAATTATTCCAAGACTCTCTTGACTCTCACTGTGCTGTGAGGTCGAACGCATGGCCTCACTTTGCTGTCTCTGTATCCAAAGATCGCTGTTGTATCTCTTCCCTTGCAACCCCAGCAAATAATCGGGCTCTGCTGGATTCCATGAGTGTGGCTCAGTATTTTCTATGAGGAAACCTCCTAAGTACTATTATAAATATGAAAAAACCACAGGCCTTCTTTTAGAAGAATGTGGAGCTGATATTCACATTTATATTTGTGTCCTGGGACATCCCAAGGTGAATTATTATAACTGTAGATCTAATTTCACAGGCAAAGGACAGCCTTGAATACAAAGTTTTCCCTGGCTGTGGAGATGAAGAATAAATATGGTCCATGACCACTTGCCTTCCTCTGAAATATCTTCATAGGCCTCAATTGACGCAGTGGAAAGCAGTTCACTTTCCTTGCTAAATTCTGTCCTCACTTCTTCTACATCCCCTTCTCTCTCTCTCTCTCTCTCTCTCTCTCTCTCTCTCTCTCTCTCTCTCTCACACATACACACACACACACACACACACTTTTTCTTATACCAAAGACTAGGTGTGAAATGTTGAGTCTACCTGCTCTCAAATTTCCATCTTGTTTCCAGCTTAATTCAGTCCAAATTGACAAAGGGCAGACCTCCTCCCTGGTCTGTCCTGCACTGTAATTCTAATGGCCATAGAGCATTTAGTACACTGGGTATTAATCCTCTGAAAGCAACATGACTCCTTCACCAAGCCAATTCATTCCTTTTAACAAAACCACTTTGTCCAAGATTTATGGTTACTGATGCTTTCTCTGCTACCTTTTTCTCCTTTCTTGTTCTAATATCAATCAAAGCCTTAACTTTTGCTGGACACTAGGCTGAGTGCTTCTCTATATTATCTTATTTAATCCTCACAATAAACCTAGTAGGCAGATACTATTCTTATTCTAAAGATCTGCCAGCTAAGGCTTAGAAGGGTAAGTCCTCTGCCAAAGGAAATACAACTTCCAAATCTTGAAGCTGGGCTACAAACTCAGCTGACTGGGAGCTCTGTGAACTGTTAATCACTATGTCCTGACACTTTTGGTAAAGCATTTGAGAATAGACTTGATTCCACTGAAAGTGAATCCACAGCTTTTAGAGGAATTTTATGTGTGTTCATCTTTGTAAAGAGCCATTCACCTAGAATGCTTTTATAATTATTACAACTACTTAGACCAGATTTTCTTAACATTTTGGGGAGAAGGGACCTATTTGAGAATCTCGAGTGAAACCCCATGAATCCCAGGCACAAAGACCCTGACGTTACACATCTTTCTGAAGCAGAAACCCCGCCTCCCATCCCTCCCACCTGTGGCTGTGCACGTGAATATGAGCTGCTCATGTACTGGGTAGCAACGCAACCCCAGGATGGAAGTGGAAGTGTCTCTGGAAAGGAAGGAGCTGCTTACAAAGATCTGTCTGCCAGCATGCCCTCCCTCCGAGAAGGGCTCTGCCAATCTTTCAGCTCTTATTTTGGATTCTGATTCTCAGACTGGTTTATAGATATCCTAGTACTCATCCCAAAGTTGGGACTTTTTCATGTGTACTTGTATGTGTTTTTTATTTTTAACTTTTATTTTAAGTTCATGGGTACAAGTGCAGGTTTGTTACATAGGTAAACTTATGTCATGGGGGTTCGTTGTACAGATGATGTCATCACCCAGGTATTAAGCCTAGTAGCCATTGGTCATTTTTCCTATCCCAAAGTCTTACAAGTTGAACATAAAACAGAAAAACACTTCTTCACCTGCATATGTATAATAACATGAAAGCCACAATGGAGACAAAGACACTAAGTCAGCCTGGTATCCAGTTTACTTCCTAATATTCGAGGGGACAGTGGACACATAACTCAAGCAGTTAAGATGCCTTTGGAAACCAAGAAGGGAAGGGCCCACATTTGATAAGAGAGAAACCCAACAATGGCTAAAACATCCACGCAACATTTCGGGAAGTCCCTTCTGCTAGTGGCTCCCGCGTGTCCATATCCTAAAGTGTGTTAGGCTACTGCTTGAAGAACAGACCATGGGTCTGGCCTCGCCACTTCCCCGAAGGAATTATTGCAGAAGGCTCTGGGAAAGGCTTCATGGTAACCTTCTTTGTTTCAGACAATAGAAAACATGAGAAATGAGCACCTTCTCATCCCCAGAACACCACCATCATGGCAAGGATAAGGACTCAATGGAGTTTCAAATTTGTATAGCGCTTTATACGTTTTCGAAGAATTTTCACATATAGTATCTTCATCAGCCCATGCAACAGCCTTGTGGTTTACAATGGAGAAAGCAGAAACCATAAGGAACTTGCTCCAGATCATGCAGCCAGACAGTGGGACGATGGATGATGTGACAGGCACCCAGACTGCACCGTGAGCCCCGCCTTTCCGGCCGGTCACTGGATAGCTCTCTCTCCTGTCATCCTGTCCGACTCTTCTCCTTCTCTATATCCAGGCCGCTTCTCAGTTCACAATGCTATCTAACTACAGATACAGATTTCAAAAGCAGAAAAACACAAACCCTTCTTGACAAGTATGTGTAGATAAAAAAATAAATGTGGCACTCTTCTTTATTGCTTCTTTATGGAAGTCTTTCCCCGATGAAAAGACCCTGCTGGGGAATAGTTCATCGACCTGTTATTTCTTTGTACACAGATTACTCCTTAGTAATAGCAGGACCTTCACACCAGGAAATTATTTGCTAAATATTTCCCACTGCCTCACAGCTTGATCTGTCAATTCCTCCCAGAGGTAAAACATCTGGGCTGGTACAACAAAACACAGCAAATTCAAAGAGATGTCCGTTAGATACAGAAGAGGATAGCTGTCCTCAGGAGGCTGTCGCAGGCCAGCTCGGGGCATTCATAGTTCCCAAGATCTTTTTCCGGCTGCATTTCACCAGAGCTTTTACGCAACTGAACAAGTGTCCAAGAGGTTGATCAGACAGCTGCACACGTCGCTGAAAAGGTGGTCGTGGAACAGCAGCAGTGGTCCCATGCTATGTGGTCATGTGATGGTTTTCAAATGCTGCTCACAGCAAATGGGGTGGGATCCACTTCTAGATGTTTTCGTTCAGGTGAAGGACGTCACGAGGGGATGCCATCTCCAGCATCGGGCTCATTCTCCTCTCCTCCAGTGTGACAGACAGGCACGCCCCTGAGCCTTAGCTTCAGGAAGAAGAACCTGCAGAAATCCTGCTCATACCAGTTCTGTCTTGTGAAGAGTCACTGGCCCCACATGCTTACTTGGGGAAGTAACTGGGAGAAAAGCTCGTTCCATGCCAGCTTTAGAAATATCTGGGAAGATACTCTGTAGTCGTGCAAACTTCTGAAAAGAAATGAAATACAAGGAAGTGAATAATTGGAAAGATTCAGCAGCTGTCACCTCCATTTAAACTCTGTTCTATAAGAGCTGGCTATACCACCCATTCTGGAAGCTCTCATAGCTCACCGCCTCACTCACACTACTAGGGGTTTGTACCAACCATTTCACTAGCATCTCCAAACTTGTACCAGTAGATTCGCTGATTGTGGCCATTTCGACCCCCTTCTGTTAGGTCTCTGTATGGAAAATCAATGCCCACAGAAGAAGGCATTTGCCAACAAGAAACTAAAGTCACTCATTTAAAAAATATACTGCCTGGTAACTCTAATTATCTTTTTATATGTAAATAACACTAACATCTGAACTGTAAGCTCCTTGACGGCAGGAGTAATGTCTTACAGCTTTTTATGCCTCGTACGGTGCCTAGCATAATGCCTTGAACATAGTAGGTGCTCACTGGAGTCTTTGATTGACTGATGTCTAAAATAGAAAGCAGAGAGACAGGTGCACAGCCAGAGAGGCAAGTAAGTGAATAGAGGGACAAGTGGGTAGCAAGAACCAGTCCTGGGGTAGCTCGTGGGTAAATTCTGCCCTGGCCGCTAGGTAGCTCACCCTGCCTGATAGATGGAGACAAAGCGGGCAGATCACCTCCTAGAGGGCCAGATACGCAGGTGGCCCTACTTTCCCACAACCATGGTCAACACAGGTGAGCAGCCATGCAGAAAGAATCTCTGAGGGCTTTTAGCTAGAACCTGCAACCAACAGCTCACGGACATGCCTAGGACACCTGAGCACCAGCCAGCCACCCTCCACCCTGGGAGCCTCCCTTGGTGCCCCACTGCTCTGGCTTCTTGGGATTAATTCTTAAGGCATGGGCAGAAACACCAAAAATATAAGGGGAGAATCCCCATGAGAAAATAGTTTGAAGGCGGCCAAAGGAGGCTGATCTATCCCCTGGCATCCCTGGGGCAGTAGGGCTCACTCCCTCACCCACAGGAAGAACGGGGCCTCTGTTTTGGACGGGGGACCCTCAGCGCTGCAATTTCTACACTGTGCTGACAGAGCCTCTGGTCGGCCTTTCATAGAATCCCTTGCTATTCCCCAAACGTCCATCCCATATCTTACTTTTGTTTTTTCCCACAATGCTCTACATGTGGCCACTAGACAAAAGCTGGAAACATTTCAGGGAGCTTCCTGTAATGATTCTCCCAGTCTAGGGGCCTCAAAAAGAGTCCAGGGTTCAAAGAATAATCTCTCTCGCCATTATTAAATGATTCACGCTATCTGCAAAAGATATTTGGATTGGTGCCCTGGGTAATCTTTTAATAACAGAAGAGATGCTTTAAAAAGATACTTACACAAGTGAAAATGATGAGTGTTAAGTAGAAAACAACCAGAGCCAGCAGCAGGACAATCTCCGCTCTGTATTTCTTAAAAGTCTCTTCTTTACGCTGCGCAGGGCATCCTTTAAAAAAGTAAGTGACAAGTGAAGCCATTTTAACAGGATTTTTCTACCATGAAAAATAGCTAAGAATGCTTTGTTCCTCCGTCCTGGAGTCCTGCTCGTCTCCTCTTCCCATCAGGATGAATGATAGTGACAGCAGCAGCAGCCAGGGCGCACTGTCGCTCGGTGTCCAGCTGCGTGCCACAGGGCCTGCATACAGCATCTCCCTGAATCTTCAGAGCAGGCCTGAGGAGTCCCATTTTACAGATGAAAGAGCTGAGGCTCGGAGACGGTCAAGGACCAAGGACCAAGGCGGCTGAGCCAGGTGTCTGGTCCAGGCTTATCCTGCGTCTGTCTGCCTCCGCTTCGGATGTCAGGCCTTTCCTGGCTTACTTTATCCTTCTACCTGATAAATCACCACTTATTAATCCACAGATTTTCTTAACTTCATCAGTGTTTGTTTGGTAGAGCGTGGCGTGTCCTCACCTCATGAGGACTCGGGGACCGTGAAAGGAAGCAGGTGAACTGCCCTGAGATGGCCAAAGACATCGACAGATTTTCGTAGAATCGTTTGAGCTCTTTCGGCAAGGCTGCCAGCATGGGTGGGCGGGAGAACAGACCCTCGGGGTTGTTCAAGGCGGTGGTGCCACCCTCAGGGAGGGCAAGAGCAGCGAGGCCGATAGTCCAGGAACAGGCATGAAGGGAGGCGCCTCTCCCCACTCGCGTGCAACCCCCAGCGTGCTGTTTGAGGAAGCAAGCTGAGCTTCGGCTACAGTGTGCGTGCAGACAGGAGCCAGGTGTAGTGTGAGAGAGCAGAGGGGGTTCTGGCCAATGGAGCCAATGGCTGGATCTCCAGAGAGCTGTCAACCCCTCAAAGTGGATTCAACATTTTGTCAGCAGCCCAGGGCTGGATCGCCACAGCTGTGGATAATGAGAGCCATTGCCCTCATGGTCCCTAACACGCACTGATCGTTCCGTCTGTCCTGGGCACTGCACTCGGCCTGTTAACGCAATTTCTCACTTAACCTTCACTACAAGCCTATGTTGTAGCTGTTACTTCCATTCTAGAGATTAGAGAACTGAGGCTTAGGGTCAATCAGGGATTTGCTCAAGGTCACACACTAATAAGACGCAGAGTTAATATCTGAGCCGGATGTACGTGACTGCGGACTCTGACCCCTTAAGCTGTTAGGCAATATCGCCTTGGAAGAGGAAAAAGAAAATCCGCTGTTGTCTTCATTTCCCCTCCCCTCCCCGCAGGATGTGCCTTCCCTCCACTCTCCCCTGCAAGGTTCCTCTCGTTCATGTGACTGTTCATTGAGAGCCTACTATGTGCCCAGACTCATCAGAGAAGAAAACAAAGAGGTTCTTGCTGTCTTGGGGAGACAGACAGTAAATCAATTCATACATAACATGCTAGTTGTACTAAGTCTCAGGAAACGAAGAAAGCAGGATAAAGGGCTGGGGATCCAGAAGGGCCTAAGGGACGTGTACGCATACAACACTAAGCAAAAGCACATGGTGCCCCTGAAGCAGGGACTGTACTCTTGCAGGTGTAATAATATTACCCTAAGTCTCAGTCCTTTCAGATACTCGACAGCAGGAGAAATCAACTACTGTAATGAAACTGGGGCTCTATGACCACATTTTTATCACTTCCAGCCTCGGCCCAACAAGTGTGGGGCAAAAGTCAAACAAAAGGCATCATTTAAGCCACGTGAAGGGAAAATGGTGACATCCTTGCCACGGATTCCCACTTCCAGCCACAGATGTGATCCAAAGCTCTGGAGCTAGACTCCGAAAGACAGGATCGACTTTCGGCCCTGAAGAAAGTGCGCATGCATTGTGCAAGAAGAAGCCGAGTGCAGCGGGTCACCTCACCTGTCACTCTCAAGATCACCTTGCCACTCAGGTTCCTCTGCCCATCTGGCTCCTGCAGAGTGCACCTGTACATGCCCGAGCTGCAGCTGGTCGTGTTCCGGATCTTCAGGGAATAGCGCCTGCCACTGGGGGCCTCGAAAGAACCATTTTGCGTCTTCTGATGATAGCGCAGGTTTTCCTGAGGAGTCTCCATCCTCTCTTCACCGCCCTCCGAGAGCTGTGAAGAAGGGATCATAGCACATCATGGTCCACGGCAAGCCCTGCAACTCGACCCCAGTGTTTCCATTTTGTTTTCATAAGATCCAGCCTCAGCTTACGTGTGTAAAACAAGACATTATGCTTTTGTGTGTATGGGACCTCTGGGGGAGGAAAGGTCTGTGAACTAAGGCTACATCTTCAGAATAACATCAGGACTGCATTTCATGATTCTATCATAAGTATCCCAATTTCCACCCTGTATAAGGGAGAACGTCACTGCTGATGACAGTGACATGCTGTGCGTGAATCTTGCTGGATTACATTTTCCGTCCATGTATACATGTATAGACAGGATCATTCTGTATTAAATCTTCTCTTTTCTTCAGATGCCAACTCACCCACTAAATGATTCCTATTTTTGTATCCCAGCTTTTTATTTGGAAAAATTCCTGAATCTGTTATGATCCTTGCCAGAGGATTCAACTCAAATCAGATATGCAGATGAGCAGCGCCTCCTGCAAACAGTCATCTTGTTCCTCAGGGGCTGTGGATCTGTGTGGCCATACCTGACGCTGCTGGATGTGCCACACCTTTTCTCTGTACTAGGGCAGTGAGACAGCTGAGACCATGCTTTACAGAGATTGTACGTGCCGGATCATTTGTTGATCATTTCAAACTCACATGGAAGTGCAGGAACAGCTGACTTCACTGTACCCAGGACAGACCGGCCGGACTTGGTAGATATCCAATTTAGTCAAACATTTTATCTGGTTGGCTTTATTTCTTTTTTCCTTTTTTGAGACAGGGTCTTGCTCTATCACCCAGGCTGCAGTGCAGTGGCGTGATCATGGCTCACTGCACCCTTGGCCTCCTGAGTCAACCTTCTGGTACTCGCCCCTCAGCCTCTCCAGTAGCTAGGATTATAGGCATGCGTCACCATGCCTGGCTAATTTCTGTATGTTTGTTTGTTTTTTTAGAGGCAATGTCTTGCTCTGTTGCCCAGGCTGGTCTCAAACTCTTGGGCTCAAGCGATCCACCTGCCTTGGCCTCCCAAAGTTCTGGGATTACAGGCATAAGCCACTGCTCCAGGCTTGCTTTCTTATGAACTCTTTGTGATAAAACTGGTGGAGTGTCCAGCATTTCCCACTGCAGAGATTAGGCTTATATCACATTCACCATTAATTCTCTCTTTCCTGGACATATTTTTAATTTGCCTCATTAACTTGCCGGTTGCTCCTCCATTGAAATACTTTAAAGCTTCTAAAATGAATTTACACGTGCAGTAAAGCAAACCCTTGTTTTCAACCTTCCTGGGCAGCCCTTCGACATTGACATCCCCAGCAGCACCTGAGTTTCCCTTTGCTGGTTGGCTGAGGACCAGCGGGGAGCCCAGGATCCAGTGACATTCCTTACCCATCCCTACCATGATAACTGCACCCAAGAGCCACTTTAGGGAAGGAGACAGAGATTATCAGGCCCCTCTGCCACTATCTTTGCTTGCACCTATCAATGATGAATCTCCCATGCCAGGAGCACCCTACCACTCTTCTCTGACTTTTAGGAAGGGACTTAAGTGCAGGGAAATAGATAACCAAGGAGTTAGGGGAACACTCTTGTGAAGCAACTCGGGAAAGAAAATACATACACACAGGCATGTGTGCACTTGTGCGCGCACACACACACACACACACACACGAGAGACTCATTTCAGCTTCATGTATTAGTAATTCAGTGGATATACCACAAGGTCCCTGGGAAGCTCGGGCCCCAGCCCTGGTGCTCGTTAGCATTCCTGTAGAGTGGGCTACAGAGACATCTGGTGGCAGACTGATCGCTCCTGCAGGGAAACCTGCTCAGCTCCCTCCTAGCCCTGAGCTGAGACAAATGGCTCTTCCCAGGCCGAGTCTGTGGACACAAATCCCATTTCTTGATGGTCCTTTTTGTATGGAAAGATTCCTTCCTAAATAATCAAGATTCTATGGGAAGAAGCGAAAAGACTGAGGCCTTTCGGTGTGCAAAAATAAAGAAAAAAAGAAAAACGGTGGGGCCAAGGAAATTTAGAGGAGACGAACAGTGTCTCAATGGTTCCAGAACACATCTCATTCAGCACCCGTTTCCCTTTTCAAGCCTAAGTAAACCATCAGCTGCAGCCTCATCGTGGGCTCACACCACTCCCCTCTCACCCCTACTGCCTGGCAGAGGTGCTTCTTCCTCCAGGCAGGGCTTTCAACAGACAGGGCCAATTGGTGCCTAGGATGGCCCGAAAGGCCACTGTGAAATAAACAGCTCAGCCCAGTCTCTACAGTCCCCACTCTGATGTCCAATCTTGCTTTTCTTTTCTTTTCTAAATTAACCTCCAAATGTGAGCATAGCTGCAATAACCATTTTGAGATTATCCACCCATGCTTTTCTCCTGGGGAGCTCCTCTCCCATTCAGCAACCCCTTCCTCCTCCAGCTCAGACAGGCCCATCTGAAAGTCAAGATCAAAACTGCGAATCCCTCTGGAGCTGCTAGAAATATAAACTATTGTCTATTTACATAAAGATGGCCCCATTATTGTGTTGTTAGCTGCTGCGGATTGTTGAAGCAAAAAGGCGCTGGCAATCAAAACTGGCTGGAAGTAACTTCTGCCTGTTTGCAGAGAATTCATTTTATAAATCAGCAGCAAGACCAGTAAAATGTAGTTTATTTGATAGTTAGATTTCCAAGGGCCTCTGGCAAAACCTTCAGTGGGCTGCTAGTTACTTTTAAATGGCAAAACAAAGGCAGAGTGAGCTCGGAAGAACAGAAAGAAGAACCGAGGGAGGATGTGAAATGAAGAACCCCAAAGCAACCTGCAGAATTCTGATTGGCCGAAACCTCATGGCCATCAGTGGGATGATGGCACAATATCTCAACTCTCATAGGGTCATCTTCCAAACACCCCTTTTCCCAAATGACCCAGAGAACTACTGGCAAAACATAGGAACTCTTGCCAAACTAACCAACAGCACTGTTTGCCTAATAACTAACTCCAGCAAAAAGAATTCTCTGTAAATTCAGACACTGCACCTGGAAATATTTCACGACCCTCCCTCTAACTTCCAGCTTTAAGTGTATACATTTTCAGCTAAACTTTCTCTTGTGACCCCCAGCTGTGGAATTCGGGGTTTGTCCACAGCTGCAAAAGGGCTGGTAGTTTTTATGTTAATGTTGCATGCTCAGAATGGGGGTGGGGCCCTAGCAGGATCAAGGGACTGTGTGCAAAAGCTCAAATCAGCTATCAGTAGGCTTTATCGGATGAGCTAACTGTGGCAGAGGCACCACCAAAAACTGAAGGAGAAATTTCAGTGGGAGGAAAATGGAGTAACAGCAAATGGGCCATCCTCACTCTGCTTTGTTTTATGAGTTCTCATAAACATTGGAGCTGGCTCAAAATCAACCACTGGCAAGAACAGCTCTTTAAACATTCCAAATCTAAAAGTGCTCCATTGCTTCTCTGCAAAAGCATTTTAGGAAATAGTAATTTATAACAAAAGGAACCCTCAGATTCATTCACAGCCAACCGTAATTGACAGGAACTATTTAATGCACCCTTCACAACGTTAATATTGTAGTACAGTGTGCTAAAGCACAACACAATTTCAGCAAATTAATTACTCAAAACACTCATCCCAATCATGTTTTAAAAATCCACGTTATGCATTAACTTTCATGCTGACAACTCTATCATTTTTGGTTGAGTTGGAAAAGTGCAAACGTGGGGCATCTCATTTTCAGAAAGCCTAGGGACTGTGACTGGTGTCAGGCCTCCCATTTGACTAAATCATTTAAATACCATATTCTTTCTCTCAAATGGAGAGTTGACCTTCAGGAAACCACAAGCCCTAAATTAAAATAAATTCTCTTTCATTTGCAGAATGCTAAATCAAGCAAACACAAGTACTAATTTTACGGGCACGTGAATGAAGTCAGTTTTTTTTTTTTAAATGATGAACAAATTTGAACTGAAACAAAAGAAATAAAATAAATCATTATTTATGGATGAAACTGAACCAATATTTTAAAAATCCTACTGTGGTTTTTATTTTTTTAAGTTTACATAATTTTATCCAAACATATGCCAACCTCCTACATTACCATATTGGAATCTAAGAGGGTGATAGTTTTATAGCAAAAAATGAGTTTTGATCACAAAATCGAAATACAAATTTATCATACATCAGATTTGTTAAGAATGCAGGGCTGGGAGTGGTGGCTTATGCCTGTAATCCCAGCATTTTGGGAGGCCAAGGCAGGTGGATCACATGAGGTCAGGAGTTCAAGACCAGCCTGGCCAACATGGTGAAACCCCATCTCCCCCATAAATACAAAATATTAGCTGGGTGTGGCAGTGGACATCTGTAATCCCAGCTACTTGGGAAACTGAGGCAGGAGAATCAGTTGAACCCAGGAAGTGGAGGTTGCAGTAAGTTGAGATCATGCCATTGTACTCCTGCCTGGGCGACAGAGCAAGACCATGACTCAAAAAAAGGAAAAGAATGTAATAAGTGCCTACCTAAAAGAAAAAAAAGTACAGGAAAATTCATCTAATGATTTGATACAACATATTTAAGGGTATATAGATTTCAAGGATTTAAAGTTGGTATTAAATTAATCTGATGTATTCCAACCACATTGAACAGCTTTTTTTTATTGCATTTCTTGTGCACTAACATTCATGTACCTTGGTTTCTAACTCAATTAAAGTGCCAATATAATTTCCATTCATCATAAAAACAGCTCTTTATAATGTGCAAAATAGTTTGGCTCAGAGGTTGATGTTATAATGAGGGTAGAATGTATGAGCATTAATATCTTTTTTTTTTCTAAGCGTAGTTTTATTAGAAAAATGATTTTCCACTTTGAAATTTACTGGGTCTAACAGACAGAGCTGGATTTATGGCTGTTAACAGAGTTATGAGTATAGCAGAGGCAACATAATTAAGAGCACAGGCGTTGGCACTGGACTGAGCTGGAACCAAACCCCAGCCCTCCCA